ACCTGGCATGCGTGCGGCCCGGGTTCGATCCTCAGCACCACATACCAACAAAGATGTTGTGTCCACCAAAAACTAAAAAATAAATATTAAAATTCTCTCTCTCTTTCTCTCTCTCTCTCTCTCTCTAAAAAAAAAAAAGAAAAAAAAGAAAGGGAACCATAAGTCAAGGAGCAAACATGTTTAAGTTTTCAATATCTTGCATGAATAGGTAAGTCTATATGCTTGCAAAATTAAATCTTGTATGTGCTATTTGAAATTACCATAGAGATGGATAAATAAATGGGTAGATGGGCAGACTGGTGGAAGAGTTTCTATTCTTTCCTTTATGGATATATTCCTTATCGACCAGAAAAAAAGATCCAGCAGTTAGATAAAAAGACAGAATTTTGATGATAAGATGAGGAAAAAGTAAATAGATGGTAGAATATAGTGGAGTGAGAGACAATGTTGGCTCAGGAAAGATGAAGAATGTCTGAGAGGGTTATTGTGGCTAGTGATGTAGATAATGAACAAAAAACGAGTGAAAGAATTTTGAAAGCAAAATGAACTCCCTGCTCTCAAGCTAGTGGCTAGCCATCTAGGTGCTATGGTTTTCTCCAGAAATACTCTAAACTAGAATCTGAGAAAGAAATTATAAGAGTAATACAGGTTTTGGCAGTTCCGTGGTAAAAGGTTAAGAGGGCAGGGAAACCTGAAGTTGGCATGTGGACCTTTTTAACCTGATTATTTATGCAGACTGAAAAGAAGTTATATATGTCCAGAAGAGAGTTCTTAGACTTGGCAAAACCACAAGGGAGACAGTTATTTGAAATTCAGGTGAGAACAGAAAGTTTGCACTCTAGATTTTGAATAGGTGAATTAAGGAGGTTGTCATAGGAAAGAGGGCTTAGTTCAGGATCTAAAAGAAACAGCAGGATGATTGTTGTCACAACCCACCAACAGACTCGTCAATCAACAGTGAGAATTTAGTAGATTATGCTTTTGTTGATAGATCTCTTCTCAGCCTTTGGTCTTCTTATCAGTACTTGCCATGATAGTTGTATCCTTCATGTATCAAACTTAATACTTATTAAGCCTTGCAAAAATGTGAAATGTGCTTTCTCTTTTATGATATAATCACCTAATTATTTTTAATATTATATATAAGTTAAGTCTCTAATAAGGAAAGTTAACTAAAATATTCCATTTGTATTTATATCAATTTACCTACATTTCACCCACTTATACTCTCATCTTTTTCAATTGATTTATAAGGGCTCTCTATATATTAAAGGTATTACCTTTAAGGGAAAATATTTCAATACAAATGACAAACATTTTATGATGTTTTTAGGTATTGCTTATAGTGGTTTTTTTTCTCTTACAGAGGTTTTAAAGTTTTATATGGTCTAACTTATTAATGGTTTCCTTTATTCCTTCCCTCTTAAACATTTTTAATTAACCATTTCATTTAATATTTATCATGAGTTTGTTTCCTTATAGAAAACATTTGTTCCAGCTGAATCAGCAGTTAGATAAAAAGACAGAATTTTGATGATAAGATGAGGAAAAAGTAAATAGATGGTAGAATATAGTGGAGTGAGAGACAGTGTTGGCTCAGGAAAGATGAAGAATGTCTGAATTTGTGATAAAAAGTAGGGTAAGGATTTAGAGGTCGGGTGGGGATGTGGAGTGAACATACACACTCGTATATGTTTGTGTGTACTTGTCATATTTCAAACTGCATGTCAGTTTCTACTTTAATTCATTCTCAATTAAAAATTATGAAATACCAAATCAACTAATCAATAATATGAGTTCTAGAGTGGCCATAGCAATTACTGTTTCCCTCACTGGTGCCTTTGATTATCCTCTTCAAAATACCTACTATTTTGCCTGATGTGACTTCATTTTATGAACCATTCTGATTAGTTTAAAATTCCACTGCTTTCAACATGATCAACATGTTCCTTTCAAAGACCTGTTTCTATTATAAAGAGACAACATCATGTTTGGCATGGACACATCACAATATCTGAGAAGCTCAAATATAAATAGAAATTGTCCATTATAAGGCTTCCCATTCTCAAATGTGTCCTTCTTTCCTCGGCAATATTTCTTTCCCTTCCCTTCTTGCCTCCACCTGTCTTCTGGCTTTTATCCCCTTGTCCTTCTCTTGTTGTTTTCCCCTTAACTTGGCCTACATATTGACCCATTTCCTCCCTAAAACACCACTAGGTTCATATCGTCCCCTCCTTCCTCTCTGCAAGGCCATTGTCCCAAGAAGCCAGAGTTTGGGAGAGAGGTCAAGGCCAAAACCTTCCCTTTGCAGGCATCCCTGCTCACAGGATTCTCAGACTTGTAAGGTCTGCAGGCCAAGCTCTGACACTGCCCTGGAGGGCGTGGCTTATGAATCTGATGAAACAGGTGTCGGAGTTGTTAAAGAAAGGCAGCCCCAAGGAATCCCTAGGTGACCTTCGGAGCTTTGTGACAGTGGGTCTATAAGGGTCTTCTGAAAAGCAGGAGGATCAAAAACAACATCTCTAAGAGCAGTTAACACATTGCAAAGGAGAACCCCGCAAGGGTACCCAGGAGGCGTGAGCAGCCTTGCACTTGCTCAGCCCGGCCCAGCTGCTGCAAAAACCATCCAAAGCAAACACAGCTCTCCCCACAGCAGACTCAACAGAACAAAAAACAACACCCAGATATAAATTAGATCGAGGAGCTCATCATGTTACACAGCCCACTGTCTTCAAATCCAGGATCTTGAATACAATAACAAACGATGCTATTAACTAACACATTGGTCTAAAGCCAAAACCAAATAACTCATTACTATAAACCAACATGATTCTCAGAATTTTCCAGGTCAGCTACAAGAGTTATGAGACTATCTTTTCAATTGAACTAAATCTCACCCATGTCTAATTGCAGGGTGCAGGCTAAATCCTTTTTCCCTTCTGCACAGCCAGCTTGTCTGCTGGAGCATCTAAGCCCTGGGGTCTTCTCAGAGTAGGGCAGGCATGTGTTCAGGTTGAAAGAAACATGAAGCCTGAAGCCAACACATGAGGGTTTCAAGGCCACCTGCTAGCCCAGTGATCTTAAGCCAGTCTCTGAGCTTCCGTTTCTCTATCCAAAAAACAAAATGACAGCTATCTCCCTGGAAATACAGGTGCAAATGTTTAGGAATTTGTAAAAGGCTATGGGGATGTTAGTGCTTACTATGGAGAAACAAGCAGCTGAGAGATGTTTTTAACCATGCCCCTACCATAAAGCTTTGTCTTTTCCACAGTTTATTTCTTCCCTATAGTTCAAATCACTTATGCATGTCACACACTGTCTTTATGTTCCCAACATAATCACTGGGATTATAAAGGAGCTAGTATCATCACATGCACCTGACAACTTGAAAAGGTGCACAAGAGGAATCCATCCAGGACACATCAACTGTGATAGAGATGACTTGAAAATTCAATGGCACATTTGGCAGAACCAAGAAGTTTGGTTTATTGTGTCTGTGGCTTTCCTTAAGCTGACTCCTCTCTGTCTCACCTTTTGGTCTTTCTGGCAGGAAGTCACTGATCTGTTTTGGTTTTGTTCATTCCTTTTAATATTCAGAAAGCTTTGCCGTGGCTGCATACTTATAAAACAAAAACAAGCTGCTTATCAAATTCTGTGCTCTGGAAGTGCACTTATTAACATATGAGTTTCTTCAGGTCAGGCAAGGCATTTGTTCCAGATCCCTTGGACAAATTAGCCTCTCCCAGCTTATTTCTTCAGTTATAACGTAAATATAATCATTGTCCTGCCTTCCTCACATACATAGACATGAAGATATAGTGATCATGTAAATAGAATTTTTTTTGAAGTAACTGAAAACATTTTACTTATATAAAATGTATAATATACACTATGATGTTATTTAATATTATTCCTACTTTCTTGTCCAAGGAAACAACAATTTGGTAGGAGTCCCTTACGACCTGCCAAGCATAACAACTCTGGATTTTAATTCTTTATGAAATAATAATGGAAGATAGATGGCATATATCTTAAAAAAAAAAAAAGACTGTTAATTCCGTGAAAATTTTGGTCAGTGTTTCTAGAAAGTATTGGGATTCTGATGCCAGATTTATTCAAGTATATTCATTTTATACTGTCTGTGGATCAGTACCCCATGTGAACAGAACAATGTAGAATCCTAAGTCCGTAGATACTTTTGTAGTGAAGGAGAGCTCTCATTTAATGTCCTGGCAGTGCATTGTTGTCTATTTTTAGGGAGAAGGATGAAATGCAGTTCCTCAACTTTTGAAATATATTATTCTTAAGGCCCTGGAGAGGCACATGGTCATTTTCAGTTAAAATGAGTAAAAGAAAGATTCTGAATTTTAAAAAAATAAATAAATAATGTTGCCAATGTTTCCCCTTTAATAATATTATTAAATCTCCAAAAAATGTAACTAAAATTCAACCAAATTTGGTCATATTAAGAAGAAAAGGCAGGACTAGGAATAAGTTTGCTGCAAAACATATGGGTTGCTCTGGATGACATTCAGACTTTAGCTAAGTCACATTGTAAAGTGACCATGACCTACACAGGGTTCTATGTCTCTTCTTCTTAAACCTATGTCCACATGAAAAATAGTTATTAAATGTGATAGGCACCATTTTATGCCAGGAAAAAAAAACAGTAAGTATTGCTTTAGAACAATGATCATCTTCAAAGTCTGCCTGCAATTTTATTAGGTTCTTATGGCTTGGATATTTTTTATTCCTTCACCATTTATGACATGAGGTCTCTTATCCAGATACTGGAAATGGTTACCTCTAGAAATGAGTTCATTATCATAGTAGCACACATATCCCTCCCCCAAAGCACTAAAAGTACAGGCCTGAAACTCCCCAAACTGAAATGACACTTTTAATATTTAGGTGTGAAACATCTTACTTCTAGAGCTCTGTGGTGAGAAAATTAAAACTTGCAAGAACAAAATTCAGTCTTCAGAACCTTCTTTGTTCACCAACTGGAAGGAAGTATTTCATCTAGGCTTCTCAAATACAGGGCATTAAAATGACTAGGTATTCTTTGTCTCTGTTTTTCTTAGTAGCTGGGGCTCACCTAATTCCAGAGTGTAAGTATCTCCTATTCCTACCACATGCAAACATTGAGTGAATTTCTAGCAATTATATTGTTACATTATAGATAAACAGATTTTCACAACCATCTTATGTTTTATACTATTGTATATCAGTAAAATCACAGTAACTACTAGGTAAAATTGCTATCTTTTAAACTTTGAAAATGTAGTGATTGTAATCAGAAGAATTATATGTAAATGCTTGGATCTTTTTTGTGAAATCTTTTGTTTTGCTTTTGCAGATTTCAGTATGGAAATTATTGGAGGACAGGAAGTACCACCTCATTCCAGGCCCTTTATGGCCTCCATCCAGTACAATGGCCACCATACTTGTGGAGGAGTTCTGATCCAGCCACAATGGGTGCTGACAGCAGCCCACTGCCACCCTCGGTGAGTCCCTCCACATTTCCATGTGCCTATTTCTCTTTCAAGTTGGCTAGAAGAGGAGTTTGACTCTCCTAGGTGAGAGATCTGAACTGCCCTTAGCTTTTGTGATGGCTGACCAGCTGGTGGAGTTTTGGTGCCCTCCTGTACAACCATGTTTTCTGTCCTGGGTTTTCCTTTTGGAGATAATGGAAAGTTTGCTGCAAAACATATGGGTTTCTCTGGATGACATTCAGATTTCAGCTAAGTCGTAATGTAAAGCAACCAGGACCTATGCAAGGTTCCATATCTCTTCATCAGGCAAGATATTAGACAAATCCAAGTCCTCAATCTAATGCCTCAGGAACACAGCAATAATGGAAGCAGCAGTTTTCCTGGCCTCTCTAGACCATACTGCTCAGGGGGAGATCAGAAAGCTAGCTTTCCCTGTCTTCTTCATCTTCCCCATTTTACAAGTGGGAATTAATAATCATGGTACAATGGTTCCCTCCTTATCTGTGGGGGATATATTTCAAAATATCCCTCAGATGCCTGAAACCTCCAAAGATACTGAACCCTATATGTACTATTTTCTTCTATATATTCATACCTATGATAAAGTCAAATTTATAGATTAGGCATAGTAAGAGATTAACACAACAATTAAATAGAGAAATTATAACAATATACTATTTAAAAAGTCACTTAAAATTTATGAATTGCTTATTAAGTTTAAAATGTTAATTTTCCAGCAGTTGACCACAAGTAACTGAAACTGCAGAAAGCAAACCTGTGTATCTATGAGGGGAGACAAACATACCCTGTTTCATGGGGTTTTGAGAATTAGATAGCACCAATTTAAGTATTTTAGCATGTTTGACACATTTAATAAGCACAAATCTATTACAGCCAATAATGTTAGTATGAGAAGTCTGATTTTCCAGTGGATGTTTGGACTCCTTAGTTACTCAGGCCCGTCACTTAAACCAGACATCTGGGGCCCGCAGTTTGGGAAAAACATCCATAAGAGGTAACAACTATCCTGTGTGTGGGCTGGTGGGGGGAGTTTATAGAGGGTTTGTACAAAGAGAAAAATAGTGAGTTATTTTTCAGGGTTACTTAGAATGAAGGCTTTTCTGAAGACAGAGAATAACCTCCCAAAGTTCATTTCACACTAGGATTCTCTTGCTTTGGTTGATAAAGTTCAAAACCCATCTTAGGATACTGCAATCATCTCAGGAGGAAAAGCAGTAGAAAATTAATTTGGTATTTGTTATTTCATTTGTGTTTTGTTGTTTTGTTTTTTCTGATTGATTGCATGTTTGTTTCCTTATGTTTCTTGCCTGGATAAGCTGAGATGGAGCCTCCTCCTTCCTAAGAAGCTTTTCAGCCCTTCACATGGTTTGCTGCCATGGCTTGCTGTCTAGGCATCAGCTATGTCTAAACAGAATACTTGAACTGATTTGTTTCTCTTCATGCTTTGGGGTGTTGTCTGATGATCCCATGTTAATGGGGCTGTTTGAGCATAGAAGTTTTGAAGCCTGAAAACAGGAGAACTTCTGTTTTATTTCTAAATAGCAAGTCACTGATTTCCAGTTTCATGTGATTCCCTCATTTAAGTGGGGTTCTTGTCTTCATAAAACTCACCCCTATTACTTCTGTCCCTCTTTTCCTGACTCTTACCCCCTTGGGACCAGTGAGGCAAAGAATGACTATTAATAAAAGCATGCACAACTTCAAACATACTTATGGTACATATTCAGATGGACTATAAGCTCTCCCCGCTCAGAGCTTAACTTGTAAATGTTCAACAAATTCTGGATGGAAAAAAGGAAACAAACTGGAGGATTTTTTGTTTTGGTTTGGTTTGGTTTTTGTTAAGCCTGAAACATGATGTGTGAAGAACCATAAAGTACTATATTGAGTGAATTTTCAGTTTTGTCAAGTGGACTTAACTCAAGAGAAGTGGATTCTCAAATTTGGGGGGGGATTATTTTTTAAAAATTAAGAAAGAGTGGAGAGAAATCCTGGAGTTTAAAAAAGATTGCTAAATATCATTTTAAATGGCTGGCTAGCTAGCATATAAAGAACTCCAAAATATGTAGATCAAGTTTCCTCTACAGGACACTTGGGTGTAAAAATGTAGGCAGATCAGTGCTTACAAAAATATTAAGGCTTATGAAATTCCAAATATTTATGAAATAGTTCAATAGTGGCTGCCCACAAATGTACTCACACGTATCCTGTGGGAATGGTTTACTAACCTTGGGCCTCCCTCTCAGCAAAATAGCAAAATGGGCCAAATCTGGGAGTGCTCTGTTCTTACCACCCTCCATTCAGCTCCTTCCTTAGTACCTGAGCCCCTAGTACCTGAGCCCCTTTATCAGTTCCCTGTCAAATATAAAAGGAAATGGGTAAAAGGTTTTCTGTATACGCTCATCTTCAGCATTTTAACTTACTAGCAACAAAACTCTCACCAGCTGTTGTCCACTGTCCTCCTAGGTATCCTCTAATGCCACCCTTCGTTGCATGCTTCCCCCTCTCTCAACTGCTCAGGATGTTATTAGGCAGAACCTTCTCCATCTCAAACACTCAAGTCTCTCTCCCCAAGTGAAATGACTTTGGCTTCCAATCAACTGACTCCTGATCCAGGCTGCCTGTGCAGCCTGGAGCCTCCACCTGATATCTATTTGTCAATTTGTCTTATCCTCAAATTCCTCATCATGAAGTGGAGAATCATCACCTACCTCATGGGGCTCTTGTGAGGCACTAGGGAAAATAGCACAGAGCACAAGACCTTAATAGACATTATCAAGTATTATTATATCATTATCTATGCCTTCCATGACAATAATTAAGGGGCTAATCTGATGATCTGCTTGTATTCATGAGATGAGACTGGGAAAATCTCAAGTCTCTGAAGCAAGAGAGACCTCCAAGACACGGGAACCCTGCCTTTGCTGCCAGGCCTCTGGAGTGGGTCTAAACATAAGTACTTCTCAGCATCATGACATGCTGACAGAGGAAATAAGAGGTTTGACGGGGCCTTGGCATGGCACTTAATGAGGAGTTGAGGAAAGAGCACTGGAATTGGAATCATAAAAGCTGGACTGGGGTCCTGATTCCCCCAGTTATGCAATGTGACACTTTAGAACAGTCAGAGAACACCCCTTTACTAGTGAGGAATATACCACTCAACAGTTTTAACAACTCCAAGAAAGGTATTGTTAGGATCAATTGAGACAGTGTTTCCACATTGTGAGCAGATGGTGAAAAAACATTGTTACAAGCAATACTATGGTTCTGCTCTATGTGTAATTCTGTTTCAGATAAGTTCAGGGTGGGATTCAGGAAGCTCCATTTTAAACAAACAGCTCCAGATGATTCTGATGCAGCTCTGAAGACCACTCTTGGAGAAATCCTAAACTGTTCAAATAAATGACACTTGTATTATTAGTTATCCTCTATGTGAATTCCAGGTTTAGCTAAAGAAATGGAGTCCTACAACTCAAGCAATTTCAGGTATCCAACGGACAGAAAAATTGACCTTGTTGGACAGAGTCTACAGTTGAAACGTACCTAGAAATTGAAAGTTCAGAAAGCACAATGGTCTGCTTGGGTTGTTTTTGGTTTTAGCCTGTCCCAGTGGAGACAAAAATAATCAAAACATGTCCAAAGCAATAGCTAGTTAAGGAAATGAGTAAAATAGGAAAGAAAACAAGAAATTTTCTTGACAGCCCTCCCTTCATCAGAATCCATCTTCCACACTCGGGATTTGTCCTTCACAGCCTTCCTTGTATGAGTTGTTTATGCAGATACCCACTTTTCTGTGAGTGTTAATCCTGAGGATTTTATATCATCTTCCCCTCCAAAGTTCTGGGGTTAGTGGGTATGTTGAATTTGAATTTGAATCAGTCCTAAGAAATCCAATCTGTATCCTAAGAGAAATTTCATACCCATCCTGATTTTGCAATAGGCAAACTTTTCAACAAATAGAACTGGAATTCCCAAAATAAATTCTTTTGGTAGAAACCAAGAAGTGGTAATTCCAGGCAGTCACAGGTCTTACATGTACAAAATCCTTCCCACCAGAGTCATGTGCACATTCTCCCAACCTGAAACAGTCATTTCTTCCTTTGTATGTTTCGGTGCCCTTCTTAATTTTATGAATATTTAGCAATCTGTATGTATATGTGTTTTCATTGATGTATTTCTTGATCCCTTTTCAAATAGCAAAGAAATCAATATATGCAAATGAATAAATATAATTATTTTTATAGCCTTCCTTGTACCAAAACAGGATTTAAGATGGCTTCCAAAAAGATGCACATTGCAAGAGGCTGTATCTGTAGCATACAAAGGTTCTGAAATGTTACCAAAAACTACTTTAAAATCATTTCCATTTTCACCAGTGGCTATAAATATAACTTTATAAAACATACAAGTAAATCAGAAACACTAGTATTAGAATTGTGTACAATCAGATTTTTTTTTTCAAAAAGCAAAACAAAAAAAAAAACAAAAACCTTTGTTTCTTCATCTGACTCCCTGGCTGTACCCTATAAATCTCCACAATGGAATCACCAATTGCTACTAGTCTTAAGATATCTTCATTTCAAATAGGCAAGTATTTCACCTTGATGAAAGTTTTTCTTTCTCATCCAAATCATGTTTCTAACTGCGAAGACAGGACTTTTGAGCATATTTGACTGCCATGTATTGGATCTCCTGATGCCTGAGGTGAGATGTCAACATAGAGATGAACATGTATAGAGCTGAGTCTTTATCTTAATCATTTAAACACCTAATAATGGAAAAAGGAAAAACTTCTGGAAGCTGGGCTTGGTGGTGCATACCTGTAATCTCAGAAACTTGGAAGTCTAAGGCAGGAGAAGCACATGTTCAAGGCTAGTCTTAGCAATTAAGTGAGCCCCTGTCTCAAAATAAAAAGAACTGAGAATGTAGTTCAGTGGTACAGGGGTACTGGGTTCAATCTCCAGTATTGGGGTAAAAATTTCTATAGATGAATGATAGTGGTGGATAAACAGCTATATATACACATACACGCATATTTTATGTATAAATCATTTATATATTTTTAAATGGCTAAAATGAGATATTTTGATGTATGTGTATATATTGGCACAATAAAAAATCCCTTATTTTTTTATGTTGGCATAAATCTCAAACCACAAACTCAAGATGTATAATGTCCTTCATTTTTACATAAATGAACACAATTTTATTGTTAACTTGCTCTAAGTCAATCAGGAACTCACTAGTTTTTTTCTCACAATCAAGTCCAAGTTCTGATATTCTTTAACAATGCTGGGGAATTGGGGTTGCAGAATGGGGTTGCAGGCATATCATTTGGCTCTTGATGTCTTTCATTCATGATGGGATCCATTGATACCTCTGCTACTCTACCTAATCCTAAACAGGTTATGTTGGAATATGTGCTTGGTTTTGTGTCTATGACTCTCTCTGCCATCTCTGCTCCCCATCGGAGGATTTGGAAATCATTCTGTTACTGCCATTCTCTGCTTTCTTTTATAGGTCGGTCAAAGGCCAATTTCCCACAGTGGTTTTAGGAGCACATTCTCTGTCAAAGAATGAGCCCTCCAAACAAACATTCGAGATTAAAAAATTCATACCATTTTCAAGTCTTAGATCAAATTCTAAATCAAATGACATCATGCTAGTAAAGGTATGTATCATTGTCTGCATCAATTTCTCCAACATTCTTATACAGTATAGTTCAGTTAATTGAAGGATATACAAGGAAGCACTCTGATAGTACCCTTCCCATATTTGAGGTAATCATGATAAATTCTGTAAGGACTCATGTTACTCTATTCATCACCTTAAAAGAATGGGTCAGGGATGCAGTTACATGAGGAAAGCCAACTCTGAATCTCCATATGTAAGAGAGGAACATCCCCACAAGCCCAAGGATTCACAATAAAAGCTTTTTCCCAAATGCTTTTCTCATGAACAATTGGAAAATCAACAGTCATTTATACAAGAGCCAACCAAGTGACTTCACGGACTCAGAAGTGAGTTACAGCTTAGTCTAGACCATACTTTGTCTAGTCCAAATTTGGTCTAGACCATACTCAAGGGTCCTATTCAGCAGAAAACAGCCCAGCCCTAAAAGTCATGACCCGCGAATGTTATTTCACAGAAATCTATCCAAGGCAGGGCAAAGGCCACTTGCTTGAGACTGGGCAAAATTCCCTGAGCATCAGTAAATTCCACAGGGAATAGAAAGCATGTTCAGGAAAGTAACAACCACAAATGCAGCTGCAGGCTACCACCAAAGTAGATTCAAGAAGAAGGGATGCCCTTCTAAGACAGAGGGACCACACATTCAATGCACAGGCTAGTAGCAGAATACTGCTGGGAAACAATGATAATTCATTCACTTTTTTTTCTATCTGTCAGCTTCACGGGGCCGCAAACCTCAACAAGCATGTCCAGTTGCTCCACCCAAGATCCAAAAGCTATATTAGATCTGGCACCAAATGCCAAGTTACTGGTTGGGGAGCCACTGACTCAAAAGTTTTCAGCATGTCTGATACCCTTCAGGAAGTCACTGTTACCATCATAGATCGAAAAGTTTGTAACAGCCAAAGTTATTACAACCACAATCCTATTATAACCAAAGACATGATATGCGCAGGAGGCACCAGAGGCGATAAGGATTCCTGCCAGGTAAGAGTCTCTCATTCAGACAGGCATCTCCAGAGTACTGCAGTCAAGACTATGTGCCTACTAGCACTGAGGAGAGGCCTGGAGAACACAAAGCCACACTTCTAGAAATGTACTCTTCATTTCTACCCTCTGTTCTTTCACATATGCCAATTTGAATGGGAAGAACTTTCCCCAATGCTTAATAAACACTCATTAAATTGTTAATCAGGAAAGTAGACTGTATCTGACAATTTTTACAGGTGTTTTAGTCAGTTATTTCACTGCTGTGACTAAAAGATCTGACCAGAACAATTGTAGAGGAGGAAAAGTTTATTTGAGGGCTCATGGTTGCAGAGGTCTTAGTCCACAGAAGCCCATTACATTCCTCAGGGCTTGAGGTGAGGCTGAACATGGGAGACAGTGGTGGAGGGAAGCAGAATACATGTTGATCAGAAAGCAGAGAGAGAGATTCCACTCTCCAGATACAAAATTTATATACCCCAAAGCCACGCTGCCCCAATTCCAGCCACACCCTGCCACTTCAGTTAATCCCTATCAAGGGATTAATTCACTGATTGGGTTAAGACTTTCACAACCCAATCACTTATCCTCTGAACCTTTTTGCATTGTCTCACACATAAGCTTTTTGGGGACACCTCACATCCAAACCATAACAACAGGCCACTTATGAGGGGTGTTAGCATCCTGAGAACATCCATCAACCCTGAGGTCATGAGTGGTGATTAGAAGATGAAGATAACTCACCCCTCCACTTCAAAAGCAAAACAAACAAAAAATCTTTTAGATCAATCAATGTGGAGGTCTTATAAGACTCAAGTACAAAATGCTCAAATATACAGTATGTGTTTCTTAAATAATATTGACTGCCTTAGTCTGCTTGGGCTGCTATAGCAACATAACTGTGAACACCCTGCAACAGAACCTGAGTGGCTTATAAATAACAAAAATCTATTTTCACAGTCCTGGGGACTAGAAAGTCCAAACCAAGGTGCCAACAGATTTGGTTTTTGGTGAGGGCTGCTTTCTGCTTCCTAGATGTCTTATTTTCACTTTAACCACACATGGTGGAAGCAATAAAGGGTGTCTCTCGGGCCTCTTTTGAAAGGTCCTAATCCCATTCGTGAGGGCTTCTGCTCCATGACCTATGACTTTCCAAAGACCCCACTTCCTCATACTATCACTCTGAGGGGTGAGAATTTCAACATGTGAGTTTAAGGACCAGGGGAAGAGGCCATAAACATTGAGACCATCACACTGATTAACAAAAAGGAATAATACTCATTATATTTTTCAAAACCTTTTGTTTATAAAATTGGTAAGAAGAAATTGGACACATGTTTACAGGTGACTAATATGTAGCACAGATGGATTATTAATTTTTAAAAAATTAGAATGCAACATTTGCCATATTAATTATTATTGGATAGAGGGTTATGATCTCTTCAAAGATCCCATGTAGCTGTTCTACCCTAAGAACATGAGCCTCCTGACCATGTAATCATGGCTGACCAGTGGGCAAGGCCAAGCAGTTTTCCATGTGGCCACAGCCTAGGCTGAGGCTGTTCTTCACATTTGAAAGCCAACTCTTAGTCTAAAAGGCCACACCACCCTCTTTATAACTCCCACTTTTCCTGACAGAATTCAGTTGCATGTTTTGTTGTTAGAGTAAGTCCTCAAAAATAATTCTTTTCAGCAAGTGTATATATCCATGTGAGAATACAAAATAATAATGAAGAAGACAGTCCTTGCCATCTAGATATTTACCGCACTGTAATACTCTTTTCTGCTGGTCTCAATGTTACCTGGATTTCAGGTCCATGAGCACCAAAATGAAATTCACAACTTAGAAAATTTCTTTTATTTCAGTGAATTATTTCAAACTTCTTGTCCACCCACCCACTCCTCAACAAATAAAACTCAATAATCACTGATTATCAAGGAATATAGGTATTCATTGACATAGATGGAGAAAAAAGAGAGACATAGTGAAGACATACAGGCAAAGTCATAGTCATAGAAAAACAGAAACAAAGAGACAAAAAAAACACAGTCCTAGAGAGAGAGAGAACCTATATTGAGTAAGAGGCTATGTCAGGCAATTGCAGGGCCCAGAGAACCCAAATACTCAGATTAGAATATGTTGGGCAAGAATGTTTTCTCTGATATAAGGAAGCTGACTCATAGTGGGGTAGGTAGGGGGAGCATGGGAGGAATAGATGAATTCTAGATACGGCAGAAGGGTGGGAGGGGAAGAGAGGGGCAGGGAATTAGCAAGGTTGGTGGAATGTGATGGACATCATTATCCAAAGTCCACGTATGAAGACACAAATTGGTATCAACATACTTTATATACAACAAGAGATATGAAAATTGTGCTGTATAAGTGTAATAAGAATTGTAGGGGCCGGGGATGTGGCTCAAGAGGTAGCATGCTTGCCTGGCATGCGTGCAGCCTGGGTTTGATCCTCAGCACCACATACAAATAGAAATGTTGTGTCCAACGAAAACTGAAAAAAAAAATAAATATTAAAAAATTCTTTCTCTCTCTCTCTTTAAAAAAAAGAACTGTAATGCATTCCACTGTCATTTTTTTTTTAAAAATCAATTAAAAAAAGAGAATACGTTGGGCAATCAACAATTGGTTAAAAAAAAAAAAAACTTCAATAGCTTCTCACCACATTTCCTTCTTTCCAGGGTGACTCAGGTGGCCCCTTGGTCTGCAAAGGTATCTTCCATGCCATTGTCTCTGGAGGTCACAAATGTGGCATTGCCAATAAGCCTGGAATCTACACCCTATTAAATAAGAAATATCAGGTTTGGATCAAAAACAACCTGGAACCACCTCGAACATATTGAGATTGTAAATAATTTTCTTGGATCTTCCAGTTACTTGCTCTGTTTTGTCATGTGCTCACAGATCAACATTATCTTCAGATGTATGTAGATACAGGTACAAAAGAGCTAAGTTGGGGTACATTTCTGGAAGACTTATTTTGTTAAGGAATGAAGCTCTTTTTCATGCACATCACTAATGTATTTTTACCATGCTGATTTCATCCTAAATAAAATTTAGAAGATTCTTCATTTGTCTTTTATGGGTATGAAGTAATTTCCAAACCTATTACACCCACACTCCCCAAAGGACAATAAGGTAACTAAACAAGACAGTAATGCTACCACCTTAAACAGGTTTATGTTGTGATTTCTGCTGAATTGTGCTAAATTATTCAGTGTTTTATAATTGTTGTAAGAATACTTAACATGAAATCTACCATTTTAACAGATTTTCAGGTGTACAATAGAGTATTATTAAATATAAGCACAATCATTTACAATAAATCTCCATAAGTTGTTCATCTGGTGAAACTGAAATTTTATACCAGGTGAATAACAACTCCTCATTTTCCTCACCCTCAGTCCATGGCAACAATTATTCTACTTTAAGCATTTATGAGTTTAGTTATCCTAAGTTGTATTTTTAAAATCATGAAGAGTAAATACAAATACCCAACTCAAGAAATGTCATTATACTCTAGGTCCATGTATGACTGCACATATGGTGCAATTCTATATCATGTACAACCAGAGAAATGAAAATTTGTGCTCAATTTGTGTAAAATGAACTGAAATGCATTCTGGTTGTCATATACAACTATCTAGAACAAATTTTAAAATTTTTTTAAAAATTTTAAAAATCAAGTTTTATACAAATATTTGAGTAGTATTATTTATGTCACATTTTTTTCCAGAAAGTGTTAATGCAATATACAAAAATACCTGCAACAAAATAAAATGTAGACTTAAAAATAAATTGGTAAAAAAAAACAAAATTGGCACAATATTGGGGTAAAGGGGAAATGAGAGTACGAAAGAGGAGAGGAAGGCAGAAATGTTCATGTGGCACTCAGAGTGCAATTAAGTTTCTTCCTATACATTTGTTAGCAAGATTCACATTTGGTTCTATGCTTTAGCCCGTGCAAAAATGAAGAATACAATCAGCTATATGAATTATGGTATCCAGAACAAAATAAAGTGTTTGCCAAGAAGTATGGCCTCTGGTGCTAGAATTGAGACTAGAGAGAACTTTCTCCCATGGTCCTTCTAAGAAGGACATTGGGATTAATGTATGCATCATTAAAATATCACATGGTTCCCTATAATATGTACAACTTTTATGTTCAATTTAAAATTAGTACAGAATAATATTTTAAAAAGGAAATTGCTGTGTTTCCCATATCCCTCCCACTGGCACCAGAATTCCCTGACATCCAGATTGCCTTGACCTTCTGTTCAGAAATTAAGATGGAATAGTCTTGAGGTGGGCCTAAAAATCTGCATTGTTTAAAAATAACTCCATTGGAACTTTAGATAGGGCAAAGGGGAAAGAGGGGATGAGAGAGGGCAAGGGATAGGAAAGATGGTGGAATGAGATGGACATCATTACCCTAAGTACATGTATGAAGACACGAATGGTGTGACTCTACTTTAGTACAACTAGACATGAAAAATTGTGCTCTGTATGTGTACTATGAATTGAAATGCATTCTGCTGTATGTATAACAAATTCGAATAAATAAATTTTTAAAAAAGAGAAAAAAAAATAACTCCATTGATTTAAGTCAGGGTGTAGCAGAAAGAAGCTGCATACCAAGCGGCGCTGTAACTCAGAACCAAACAGCAGGCATACAGCTTCTCAGTGAAGTGATGAAAGAGGGATTTCACTAAAATTCAATAAAAAAGTGGTCTAGGGACTCTGAAGTTTGGGTACAATAAGCAAAGAAGAAAGAATACATCAAAGCCAATGTGGCTGCCTCTCAGGCACTGCTGGTGCAGATTCACTACGAACAAAGGGAGGAGGAACAGATTTAATATGGAAAAGCCTGAGATCAAAAATTCTGCCTAATATTAGCTGATCCAGACGCAGCACTGTGCCCTGGTCTGTCGGGAGCTGCCACAAAGGAACCAAACGCCCTTTAATCTTGATCGATGAGAATGTGGCAAGTCAGCCATGGGCTGTGTGTGTGTGTGTGAACTATGAGCAGTGAGCACAGGAAGTGACTGAACTGACATTGTCCCTCTGTTTGGGCGGGCCTCACTCTGGTCTTTTCACTCGTGACCCTCACACAACTCGAGATGAGCATGGCCTTCCTAAATGTCAGTCAATATGCTGACAGCACACATCACTAGCTAGACTCAACCCCCTGAAATCTGACCCCTTGCCTCATTTGAATGGCTTCTCCCCAATAAAAGGGCTCAGCATGTGCTTCTCTTTCCCTCTCTTTCCATGGACCCCTGAGGTCAGAGGGGCCGTCACAGACCCAAAGAAAAAGGTATTTCTCTGTCTCTGTGTGATTATTTCATGCCAGCCCAGTTCACCTGGAGTGACCTGAAGTGTTTAGTAATGGGATGAGACATTGGTACTTGAACACTGTGCTCTGTATCTCAACTGACTGCAGAGAGCTGAGGCCCACAAATCAAGTCACAGCAGCAACTGAGAAACTCAGAAGATCAGAAAGAAAAAACAAACAAACAAAAAAAAAAAACTGCCACACTATCCAGGCAGGCAGGCGGGCATCTAGAGTGTGACCTAGGCTGTGCCTGGTGAAACCGGCACTGAATAAACTGTACCCAGGAGGATTTAAGTTGGGAGGAGAAAGGGGAGCCTAACTTGCTTCTCCTTGTATCTGGTGGCTCACATAATCACTGAAGTGACCAGAATCTGAGCAGGTGGAGGTGATCGCACTCAGGAACTAAGTGTGGGAAGGCTGTGCTCCTGGTCTACACTGAGTGGAGGATCAGCCAGGCCTCCCCCAACACCACTGGATTTCTTGAAAGATTCCTGAGAACCAGACCTGCATCAGAAATTGGCTCCTGTCTAGCCCTAGGGCTGGGTCGATTTAATCTCTCCAAAGCAGGCACCACCCAAAAAAAAGCCCCTGAGGCCTGATTAGACCTAAGCCCCACCAGCTGGAACTCCCCTCACAGAATGCTGCAGAAGCCAAATGACAGTATGCCCTAACCCATCCCACCTCCTAATGGTAAGAAGGGAAGCTGAGTCTTATATCAAACAACTTCAATCTTAGGCGACTCCAACTGGCAGCTCAGAGAACAAAACAAAAACAGGAAGAGGTTAACAATCCCCACCCTTTGTTCTATCAGTACATAACTTAAGAAGAATGGAAAGAAAAACTCGGTGTTCACATAGACAGTGACCACCCAATATAGTCAACTATTTTGACCATCTCAGTGGAGGGTTCCTTCATTCTCAAGTCAAGTCACAGCAGCAACTGTGTACACTAAGATTTTTTTTTTTTCTTTCCATGTGAGCTTGCACACACATGTGAATTCTTGCTGTGCTGATTGGTTCGGGTACATATATAGATAGACTTATTTGCTTCTTATTCTCTCATTTTTAGCATTTTTAATGTGATCATTTTTCTTAGCATTTATTTTCCTAGCATTTATTTCTCTTGGTCTTATCTTCTCCTGGCAATGGCCAAATTTTATTGTTCTCTCTCTCCCCTACTACTTTGCTTCCTCTATTTTTCCCCTCCTTCTGCATAAACATCAGCAACTACATCTCTTCTGCATTCTCTCTGTTCACTTCTTGATATTGTAAACTCTTTTCTAACTTCCTAACACATTTTCTTTTCCCCTAATTAACTGTTCTTTTTTTGCTACCTTCCAGAAGTAATTGGTTCATATAACTCCTGCCCTCCACCATTAATGCTAAAACAATCATTACTGCTGTGGATGATACAGTTAACACCTGCTGTTTGCTTCAAAGCCAGATCTAGTTAGTTCCTGGTTATTGTTTTTATTGTTGACAATTGCTGAACCCTCCATTCCTGTTTATTGGTGGTAATTAATGTTGAAGACGTCACAGTAGGAACTGGGTATTTACTTTAATGCTGCGTATTGTTTGCAACAGTTGCTACTATTGTTTATTTTGCTCCATTCTGTGAGATTCTGGGAACCTACAGAGACACTAAAAGTTTACAGGTTAGAGACTCTGTGAATGAACTAAACATTTCCTGACATTACTGAAACTCAAAGAAGTGAGGAGACAAAAACCCCAACCAACAACAAGGACCCAAGGAGAAACCATCAGATGTCACCCCTTGGCATCTACTCATACATCAAAACTAGAGAAAAGTCCCAGAACAAATGAGATAATTTCACACAAATGGACATATGCCAACAAAAAAAAAAGTAGGGAAATCCACCTCACAAGTTCAAGACCTCTGAAAACATGAGGAAAGAGAAAAACAAATATTCCCCAAAAATCCACAATCCCCCAATAAATGATCTGACTGATATAGAGGTGGATGAAAAACCAAAAAAAAATATTACTTAAAAAATTGGTTATCAAAATGTTCAATGAATTAAAAAAAGATCTAAGAAAGGAATTAAGAGAGCAATTACAGGAGATGAAAGATCACTTTAATAAAGAGACAGAAATAGTGAAAAGAAGTACTTCTAGAAATGAAAGACATACTGAAATGAAAATCTCACTTGAAGACACCATTAGCAGATTAGAATATGTAAAAACTAGAACCTCAGCCCTTGAAGACAGAATATCAGGCCCTGAAGACAGGGTATATGATCTTGAGTACACAGGATGCAATATAGAGGGGAAAATATAGAATAAGACTATAATATACAAGAACTCTGGGACAACATTAAAAGACTAAACTGAGAATTATTGGGATAAAAGAGAATATGAAGATACAAACTAAAGGCATAAAGAATATTTTCAATGAAATACAGAAAATTTCTTTATCAGAAAGGAGATAGACATCCACATACAGGAAGCTTACAGGGCCCCAAACAAACCTGGCCAAATGAGAAGTTTGCCAAGACATATTCAAAATGCTTAAGATAGAAAATAAGGAAAGAATATTAAAGCCACAAGAGAGAAACATAAGGTCACATTTACAGTTAAACCTATAAGGCTCACTCCTGATTTCTCAGTTCAGACTCTAATATCAAGGAGGTCCTGGAATAAGATATTCCAAGTCCTAATAACTGCCAACCAAGGCTACTATACCCAACAAATCTCAGTTTTAAATTCAAGAGGGAAATAAA